CGGGGCGGCGAGAGGCGGGTGCGCTCGTAGGGGGGGGCCACGGTAGCCACGGTGGCTTGTGACAAGCCCAAATAGGAAGCCGTTTGGTGGCCAAGTTGGCCAGCGCCTTCGTAGCCACCGGCCGGTTGGCTACGGTAAGCGGCGGCGGCGGAGGAGGAGGAGGAGGAGTTGGTAGCCTGTTGCACCGGGTAAGTAGCCACCATGGAGCCGGTAGCCCGGTAAGCGGCGTTGAGAGGGGTGGAAGCTTTGTAGGTAGCCACGGTGGCCGCTTGGTTGCCGTAGGAGGGGGTGGCTAACGAAGAAGCCGCTTGGGCACCGTAAGTAGCCGTGAGGGCGGCGGCGGCGGCGGGTTGGCTACCGTAGGATGAGGGCAAGTTGGCGGCGGCGGCGGGCTGGCTAGCGTAGGAGGCGGGTTGGCTAGCGTAGGTGGCGGAGAGAGCGGTAGCCGGTTGGGCTGCGTAGGTAGCCGCGTGGCTAGCCACGGGTTGGTAGGCGGCGGCGGCGTGGCTAGCCACCGCTTGGGCGCCGCCGTAGGAGGTGGCGTGGACGGCTACCGCTTGGGCGCCGTAGGTAGCCGAAAGAGCGGCGGCAGCGGCCCCGGGTTGGGCGCCGTAGGTAGCCGCGTGGCTATCGAGGGGTTGGGCGGCGTAGCCGGAGGGTTGGCCACCGTATGCTACGTGGGTGGCTACCGTTTGGGCGCCGTAGGAAGCGGCGGTAGGGCCGGTGGCTACTTGGGCGCCGTAAGAAGTAGCCACTTGAGCGCCGTAGGAAGCCGAGTAGCCGGCCCCGTAGGAGTTGGTAGCCAAAGCGGCCGATTGGAGGCCGTAAGCGGCAAGTTGGGATGAAGGAGGGGGTTGAGGGGGGGCGCCGTAGGACGCGGCAACCGCCGGGGCGTTTTGGTTGCCGTAGTTGGCCAAGGAGTTGGAAGATGGTTGGGAAGAGGTAGCCCCCAAAGGGAGGGAGGGTTGGGAGCGGTAGGTGGCCCCCAAAGAAGCCGAAGGTTGGGCTCGGTAAGAGGGATTTTGGCTACCGGTGGGTTGAGGGCGATAGGCAACGCCGAGGGAGGCCGAAGGTTGAGCGCGGTAGGTTGCCCCCAACGAGGCCGAAGGTTGGGCTCGGTAGGCCGCCGGTTGGGCCGCCACGTAGGCGGCGTGGCTAGGAGAACGGCGGAGCGGGCTACGATCCCTCCCTCCGAAATAAGAAGGGGAAGGGGGTCTGGTTTGGGCATCGAAAGCCTCGTATTTGGTAGCCACCACGGCGGAGGAAGAGGAAGAGGAGGAGAAACCCCCCCGCTGTTGGTAGTCGTAGAGGGAGGAAGAGGAGGAGGAGGAGTAGGCGGAGGGGAAGGCGGCGTCGGGCGGGCGCTGTTGGCCAAACCCTTCCATTTTGGGTTGAAATTTCTCCCGATATTCCAACCCCAACCGTTTGTTCTTCTCCAAGGCCAAGGCGGAAGGGGGAAGGGCGGTTGAGTTGGCGTTGGCCAACGGGTTGGCGTTGGTGGTGGCCAACGGGTGGTGGTTGGTGGTGGTGGCCAACGGGTGGTGGGTGTTGGTGTTGGCCAACAGGTTGGCGTTGGCGTTGTTGACGTTGGGGTTGTTGTTCTTCTTCTGGACGTTGGTGGAGAGCTCCACGTTCACCCGCCGACCTTTCACCTCCTTCCCGTTGAGGTTTTCGATGGCCATTTTGGCGTCTGCTTCGTTCTCCATGTGCACAAAGGCATAGTCTGATAAAGCAGCAGACACAGGGGTTAGAAGGGGAGGGGGGGGTTTTTTGGGGAAAAAAAAGACAAAATCGGGTTATAAAAAGCTCTGCCGGCCCCAGCTCCGGCAGCCACCGAGTCACCACGACTTGCCTGCCTGGCTGTGATTGATTAATTAGGCCGGAGGTTAACGAAGCGGCCCGCTCGCCCCTAAGAACGGTTTTTTAATTATTTTAACTCTTCCCCACCCAAATCTGGCGGTTTTTGGGGGGACGGCGGGGGCCGAGTCGGGGGGGGCCCCCCCCCCCCCCCAACCCCAGTGAGCGGAGCAAAGGCAGAGAGAGGTGCCCGGAGACACTCGGATACAGCGAGGGAGGAGGAGGAGGAGGATGGGGGAGGAAGGAGAGGAGAGGAAGAAGAGGAGGAGGAGAAGGAAGGGGGAGAAGAAAGGGGAGAGGAGGAAGAGGAAGGGGGGACAAGGAAGAGGAGGAGGAGGGGGAAAGGGGAGGAGGAGGAAGAGAGAAAAGGGGGAGAGGAGGAAGAGAGAAAAGGGGGAGAGGGAAGAAGGGGGATAAAGAAGAGGAAGGAGAAGGAGGGGAGAGAGAGGAGGAAGAGGAGGAGGGGGGAGAGGAGGAAGGAGAGAAAGAGGAAGGAGGGAGTAGAAGAGGAAGAGGAGGAGGAAGGAGGGAGTGGAAGAAAAAGAAGGGGTGGGAGATGAGGAAGAAGGGAGAAGAAGGAGGGAGGAGAGGAAGAAGAGGAGGAGGAAGAAGGGAGAAGGAGAGAGTAGAGAAGGAAGAAGGAGAGGAAGAAGAGGAGAAAGGAGGGAGTAAAAGAGGAAGAGGAGGAGGAAGGAGACAGTAGAGGAAGAAGGAGAGGAAGAAGAAGGAGAAAGGAGAGGAAGAAGGAGAGGAAGAAGAAGGAGAAAGGAGAGGAAGAAGAGGAGGAGGAAGAAGGGAGTAAAAAAAAAAAAAGGAGGGGGAGAGGAGGAAGAAGGGAGTAAAGGAGGAAGACAGAGGAAGGAGGAAGACAGAGGAAGGAGGAAGACAGAGGAAGGAGGAAGACAGAGGAAGGAGGAAGACAGAGGAAGGAGGAAGACAGAGGAAGGAGGAAGACAGAGGAAGGAGGAAGACAGAGGAAGGAGGAAGACAGAGGAAGGAGGAAGACAGAGGAAGGAGGAAGACAGAGGAAGGAGGAAGACAGAGGAAGGAGGAAGACAGAGGAAGGAGGAAGACAGAGGAAGGAGGAAGACAGAGGAAGGAGGAAGACAGAGGAAGGAGGAAGACAGAGGAAGGAGGAAGACAGAGGAAGGAGGAAGACAGAGGAAGGAGGAAGACAGAGGAAGGAGGAAGACAGAGGAAGGAGGAAGACAGAGGAAGGAGGAAGACAGAGGAAGGAGGAAGACAGAGGAAGGAGGGGAGGAGGAAGAAGGGAGTAGAAGAAGAAGAAGAGAGAAGGAGGAGGAAGGAGGGAGTAGAGAAGGAAGAAGAAGAGGGGAAGGAGGAAGACAGAGGAAGGAGGAAGACAGAGGAAGGAGGGGAGGAGGAAGAAGGGAGTAGAAGAAGAAGAAGAGAGAAGGAGGAGGAAGGAGGGAGTAGAGAAGGAAGAAGAAGAGGAAGAAGAGAAAGAAGGAGTAAAAGAGGAAGAGGAGGAGGAAGGAGGGGGGAGAGGAGGAGGAAGGAGAGGAGGAAGAGGAGGATGGAGAGGAGGAAGAGGAGGATGGAGAGGAAGAGGAGGAGGAGGAAGG